TCCACGTCTCCACCTTGATGCCTCCTCCGTGTGGCGCTAACCGGTGGAAACGGGTCAGAAGTCGTGACAACACAAGTGCGAGGTGGTGAGCAGCGCACGTGCTCACTTGATGAGGGCAGCAGCTCAGAGTTATCCCGGTATATCCCGGGTTAACTGTATTATTCCCGCTGTCTGCTTTTATTAACGTGAAAGGAAAGGGAGCGCTAAATGGGATGCGGCGCGGTGTCTGTCCGGGGGGGTTCGGTTGGGTTTTAAAATGGTAAAATTCGTGGAGAGAAACTTTATTTGATGTGATAAAACATTAGAGTACCCCTATATAGTACTATATAATTAACCTTTCAGGTATGAGACACGTCACCGCGGGGCGTGTTCAGGGGAGGGACGCGTGACAAAGCCTCATTCCTGCGTCTCCCCCATGGGCTGCAGCAGCCTGCGCGTGCGCGTGCGCGCGTGCACAGTAAAAAAAAAAAAATCCCACCTGTGTTTATGATTTTTGGTTTTTTTTTATCCTGAAACGCAAACACGGTGACATGCAAACATGTTTTTCAGCAGCAACGTGCACAACACGTGAGTTCCTCAGAGTGGAAACAACACACACAATGCCAGTGGCCCTTTCAAGCCGTCCCTGTGTGTGTGTGTGTGTGTGTGTGTGTGTGTGTGTGTGTGTGTGTGTGTGTCCTTGAATGTGTGTGCAGACTCTTTTCTCTCTGCATTGATGCACAAAGGAGCAGATGCACGAGGACTCTGCGTGTTTAGACGACCGAAGCTGCGCAGGTTCTTTCAATTAGAAAAATCCAAATATTTAGGGACTGAACATTTCCTCTCTGGACGGAAGGGGAGTTGTGTGTGTGTGTGTGTGTGTGTGTGTGTGTGTGTGTGTGTGTGTGTGTGTGCGTGTGTCCTGTAGACTCACATGGGGCGTATTGGTCCTCTGGGTTTACGCTTCGTCCGTCCAACGTCTCATCAGAAAAGCTCTCGGAGGAGCGAGTCTCACGTAAGCGATGCCACCTGATCGATGTCCTCATTTAAAAAAGGACGCGATGATGACGAAGTCCTTCGCCCGCCCCCTTTGGGCACATCGGGCCCCGAACTCAGCTCTGTTCTCACCTGGGTGGGGGGGGGGCCCCGAGCTCTCAGGGGTCAGGAGACGGGACAGTCTACCCTCGTCCCTCTGAGTAATGACCTCGTCTCTTATGTCTCTCACTCAAAGGTGGAGGTGGAACATAATGTCATAAGATGTAGATTTTAAAGCCCTTTCATGTGTGATGAGAGATCATATAATTATATATATATATATATATATATATAATAAATATATATATATATATATATATATATGTATGCAGGCAGTACCGTTTCCATGCAGAGAAGAAAGGATCACAGTAGGAATTAAGACCATTTCTCAGCGATCCCCTCCCCCAAAACACACACAAACACACAGACACACACACACAGACACACACCCTTACCAAGACAAATAGCCTGTGACATGCCTCTGTGAACATGGCACGGAAGGGTCTGCCCCCCCCCCCCCCTCCCCCCTCCAGGGCAGAAGAGGCAGTGGAGTCCTCCAGCGGATGGAACTCCCAGTGTCTCCTCGCCGCGTCTGAACCCCGCTGAGTCGTTTGACCTCGGTGGAAAACGGCCCCTCGGAGACGTCCGGGGACGCGTTTCCGCGTCACAACAGGCCCGCCTCCCGGCGGCCATCTTGTATCACTCTCGGGTGCGCTGGTCCCGTTTGGGTTCGGCGTTGTTTATGCCGACGCCCTGGAACACACTAAACGGAATGGCGTCTTCATTAGTTTGATCAATTACAGCTGTGTTTAGCGCCCTGATGCGTCCGAATGGGAGCCAGATTAAAAATGGATTTCTTTTGTTCGTTTTGAGCAAATTAATGTCACCCAGCGGCCGTCAAATGAAGGCCAAAAACACACTGGGGTTTGTTGGGGTGAAGCAGTCAACCACTGACTCAGTTTGAAGAAAAAAAAGCTGTGTTCTTGTTTTTATTGCCGGGAGGAAGCAGTCGACGGCGCTCAGCCTGCCGAGTGGAAAATGTGACAGACGCCTTTGAGTTATTCTCCAGAGGTCGCCGGGGGCTTCGGAGAGAAACGGGAGTAGCGAGGGGAGAAGAATCCGCATTAACGCCATAAACTTACACCATCCGTGTTTGCTCAGGTGGTTTTCCTCGTGGCGAAGAGGGGAGATCAAATATGGACACATCCATTTGAAACTGTCCACGAAGGGCTCGTTCTCCGGACGGCAGAACAACTGGGCTCCGTGGCTCCGGTGGGCCTTTGGACAAACCAGACGGTGATGGTGGGCAACAAAAGGCTTCACGCCTCCCCTTTGGCGTTCAGACCCCCTCAATCGATACCAGACGCAGAAAGGAACGCTGTGCACTTTTAGCATTTGGAGGAATCTATTGGCAGAGATGGAATATGGTATTAATAAGAATGTTATCTTTGGTTCACACTCGCCTTGACAAGGTTGTTTCACCGACATCGAATCACGTCCAATTAAGAGATTTACTGCTTTCATGCAAACTTGTGACTCTCGTCATTCAGGATTTAAAGGGCCAGTCCTCCTTTTTACGTCAGTGCCACGTCCGTGTGTTCAGGTCACGTCGGTGTGATTTCAACAGCTCAATTCTACCAAAAGCACAAACAAAAGAAATAAAGAGTTCAGACTAATTTAGTAGATTCAAGCGTTTCTCATTGTTGCTGTTGAGTCTCTCAGATGTGATTTGTGCTGCTCACAGTCACACAGACGTCGCCTGAATGGAGATTCTTTGGAGAGGACGGAGCCGGCGGGTCACCGTGACGTATTCATCGGACTTATTGTGCTTCCACACGGCGTTTACTGTCCGATTAAAGCAGCAACGCGCCGAAAACAACCTAAAAGCAATGCGTTAATCCTGACACGAGATACTTCTTCATGATGAGACTAAAGGAAAGGACGCAGGACACGTTTAGTCATTTTAATATATTTGTATATATTCATATATTACACATTTAATACAAGCACAATGAAAAATCATAAAGTAAAGACAAAAGTGGCTGAGATATTGGTAAAAATGTACAATTTATGAGAATCATTTACATAATTTTGCACTATTTAAACTCTCTTCAATACAACATATAAAGAAACAAAGGATGTGAAAGTGACAAAAAACAAGGACCCCTGGAAACTGATTTGTAAAGTTTTCTTTTAGAGGCAGCAAGAACCAGCTTGCTCGTCCCATCTGACGTAATTAAAAGAAAACCCAGAGAGACGTGCTGATTTCTAACTGTACAAATGTCCGAAGATACAATTTAAGGATTTTATGTAAACGCGTTCATTTCAAATAGCTTTAGGATTTGGCTGATTTAAGTCCAGAGCGAGATACAACAATTTAGTTTGAGCGAATGAATCCATTCGAGATTAACGTCTGCCTCGAGATTATTATCAAAGTCATAAACTTGAATCACACACACAACTTTACAAACTGGACGACCCTCCCGGCCAGAGATGCTGAACGACATCGAATAAATGATCGAGTGAGACATCGACGAGTTTCACCCTCAAACCAGTCGGTTAAAAATGACCACCAGTCATTTTTCCGAAGCCGGGCGGACAGTAAAAAAAAAAAAGCAGAACAAGCCTGATGTGAAAAGTCACCTTTCTTAGTCAGTTATCTGAGAGGCCACACGACGCGCAGCGTGTGAAACGTCACAGCTTCCAGCAACTAATCGCATCCACTAATCCGTTCACCAATCAGGGATCATCTCATGGTCGAGGTCAACGGGTACAAAAACACAAAAACACGAACCTGCTCCGCCAAGAAGCACGACACAGCTTCCAGAGCAGCAGCCTTCCGTCGGTAAAAAGACACGAGAGCATCCGATGGGCCTTTCCCAGCATGCACCGGGGGGCGAGAGGCAGGGCGGCGTCACAACAAGGCGTTTCCTCGCCGCGCTACGAGGCGATGGGGTCGACCCCCCCCTCATAGAAAAAGAGGAGGTGTCAAAGGAAAGCGGGACTCGTTCGGCGTTTTGGAAGACAAGCGGCTCGTAAAAAGAGATTTTCCCTTCAGTATCCTGATGAAATCAAACTGGCACTGTGTTGTGTTGGTGCTTTTCTTAATAAATGTGCTGTAGTTTACAAAAAGAAAAGAATTAGATTCAGGCACATTGCTCACAAAAGTGTGATGTTAAAAAAGGCTGCGAGTTAAAATTGGGCTGAAATCTCGATGCTTTTTTTCCTTCTTTTTTTTTTTTTTAAAGCCGCTAAACATTTGACACAACGTTTTACAGTCAAAACAGCAGAGATTTCTTTTATAAAAGTATACAAACGCAAGCCATCACCGAGAGGGTCAGTGAGATTCTAAAAAAAGAGCTGATCCACGAAGACATTAAAAAGCCTGGAGGACGGCGCTGAGGTCAGCTTCAGTTTCAAAGCACTTGGATGTTACTTTAAGAGGCGGCGGCGGCGTGAGAGGACTTTAGACAGACTCCACCTTCGCTGCTTCATTGCACGTGATGAAAAGAAGACGAGGAGGAGAGAGATCAGTGTCGATATGTAGAGATCGGAGGAAGGAACCTTTTCTTCTCTTCCACGCCGACGTGGTTCTGTTTTAAAGTCCTTAAAGGCTCTTGAAGGGTGATTATAGGAGGAAGATTGTTAGTGCATGTCGTTGTTTTACAATATAAATTGATATCTAATCCATCAATTGTTTCTGACTGTACAAAAGTGGATTGATCAGAAAGCATTGTTAGATTTCATTTCCTGAAAGCTCATCTCAGTCTTCTTCTTTCTTTCTTCTTCAGTGTTCAATACTCAGTGCTGTTTTATCGTAGTGAGATCCTCGTGAAGACGCATTTCTTCTTCTTCTTCTCCAGGCTCAGCAGTCCGCCATGTAGCGACCTGCAGAAGAAGAGCAGCTTGAGCCGTCTGGAAAGGGGGGGAACTGAGGGGGGGGGGGGACTGGGCAGACTGGGGGGGACTGGGGGGGGGCTACCTACCGGTGCAAAACGTCTTCTTGATGAGGGAGAGTCTGTACGCTGGGTCCCTGCTAGCTTCATGTTCAACCCTGACAGAGGTGCTGCTCTCTCTCATGAACTGCATCCGCCAGGGGGATGAGGGGTCGACGGGCCGTCCGACAGCTCGAACTTGGCCCTCAAGGACCCGGCTCCTGGCGCCAAACAAAATAAAAAAAACGCTGAGTCGTTGAAAGAAAACGATTTCCCACGAGAACTACAAATAAACAAACCAAGAAGAAGAAGAAGAAGCAGCAGAAGAAGAAGAAGCTTTACCTTCGTTCTCAGATTTCTCCGAGATGTCGCTCAGCTTCCACAGACTCTTGTTCTGCTCCGGGTTCCTAGAAACAACGGAGAGAAATGAGCCGCTGCCGGGGGGGGGGGGGGGGGGGGGGGGGGGCACGTACGACGAGCGCCGCGGCGTTACCAGATGGAGGGGGGCAGCGACTGCATGTTGGTGACCCCCCCGTCGACGGGCACCAAGATCTGAACGTTGGACAGCGGGCCGGGGGGGGACATGGACTCCGGGTTGTAGCGGTAGTCCACCCGCAGGTCCGACGCGCTGGCCGTGCACTTCCAGTACACGGCCAGGTTGAGAGGAGTGGAATGGATCCCGTCAGACTGCACCTGGGCGTGTTGGAACGGAGCCGCTTTGAGTCTGGGCAGCTAGCGTCGTGGCTAACGTGGCTAACGTGCTCCTGAGCGCCGAGGCGTCACAGGCTTCAATAGGTGAAGCTTTTACAATATCATTTATCTGCACAATGACGAAAAGATGCACCAATGTAACAATGTGAATTAGCATCAGGAAGCAGCCGGGGTTTGTTTTATAGATGATGTCATTTATCTCGCGTGTGAGGCTCTCACAGGGTTTTAGGGCAGCAAACTCAATTATAAAGCCAGTTAGTGACCACAAACAAATTCAATTCCAGCGACGGTGAGGACGCGGCGGGTTTAGGAACATCTGACGCACATTCTCTTTTGTATTTGCTTCTTTCTCAGACTTGACGGGACTCGGGGAAACACCCATTATTGGATTTGATCTGGATGTCCTGACCTGGTATTTTAGGATGTCCACGTTGTAATAGGAAGCGGTAGGATTCTGTTCTGAAGATTTCCTGAGGTAGGACGTCAGCGCTTGCATGTTGAACCAGAAGTCCTTGGAGTTTGAGTCACTTTGGGAGGGATCACTAGATGGAAAGTAAAAAACAGTCAGAAGGAGACACAAGGAATAATCAGAGGCTCAATTATTCATCGCCGTTCCTTGGAAAGAAAACCCTGTTATTTGCCACCGGAGTTCTATTTGACCGGATGAGTTCGACCGCGAGGTCCTGGGATAACAGGCCGCCATCGAGAAGACGTCATTTTCCTTTTACAAACATGGCACATGGAGACTCTGCTTGTGGGGTAGAAGCTACTTTAAACACCTTTGGACTGAGACTGAGGAGGTGAGAGGAGACACATTGTGCGCTGAGTGAAACAGATGTTGTGTGAGGTGGGCTGCTGAGAACCTGCCTGTTAACATCTGGGGGGGGGGGGAAATACTGGCCTGACAGCTTAATGACGGGTTTGTGTCACATTACTAATTGAATTTCCTCCCACTGACGCAGTCCCCCCCCGCCCCTCCACCGTTTCATTCAGCCAGCTTCTGCCCCTCGGAACCGAGCCGCTCACCTGAACAGAAGCTGCTGGTTGGGTAGGACCTGCTCCAACCTGCTGGTGTTCCTCAGCTTGAAGGCGAGCACGGCGGGGGAGGGGTTGGTGGTGAACACCTTGATGATGCCCATGGGGAAGGACAAGGTCATGTCCCCTGTGATCTTCACGATGCACCTGTAGAACGTAATGATAACTGCTTACAAAGGAAGGGAGAGAGGGGCGGGGGGGGGGGGGGGGGGGGGCGGGTTTTACCCGCCTCCATTGCATATTTTATTAAAAGACAACTAAGGCCCTTTTTTAGCAGGGAAATCAAACACGGTGGCTTTAGGTTGCAGGTGTTACACATCTCCATTCCCCCTTTTCTACACGCACATCTGTATGCTTTTATAGTCCAATATAAATCAGCTTCTTCGTTCAGTGGGGCTTGGCCTGGGCCGCGGTGGTAACGGGCCCACAGCGGGTCTCCGGCTCGCACCGCGTCTCCGCTGCATTGCTTATGAAATGTTCCATTTCCTAATCCCTGCGAAAATAAGCCTGTTGCACAGCAGCAATTTAACAGCAGTTAACCAATAAACGGCTGAATGTTTTCTCTGCCCCAGACTATAATCTGCCCCGCGTAGGTTATCCACTCTGAAAGAATGGTGTCAGACTGATGCAAAAACATTCCACGCACGCAGAGCCAGAGGGACACACACACACAACCGAAGGTAGCACCAAAAGAACGCCATACGTGTTGTGGTTTAACATCAAATATGGACAAAAATGTGCATGCGTGCGGGTCCACGTCGGGCCCTTTGAGCAGCAGGGGGTCATGTGAGACTCACTTAGTGGGATCAGCTCCTTTGAAGTAAGCATTAACCGACTCTGTGAAGGCCACGGCAATGGGCAAAGCGTCCAGGGAGGCCAAGGTCACCGGGCTGGGACCGCGAGACGTCCCTGAGAAGGAGAGAGGCGCACGGTTGGAGGTCTGTTGACTCAGCTGCGGGTCAGACGTTTTACAGCGGAGGGGTCCAAAGCTCACAATCGGAATCAGGACGGCTCGATCATGCAAAGATGCATTACGTCATTTAGGGTATTCGTATTATTGCACGAAGTCGGCCATTCACACTTTCAGTGCATTGTTATTTTTCAAATAAAGCAAATAAGCAAAGTCGTTTCGAGGAGATCATACAGCTGCTTCAGCTCTCAGTGCTGTAGACGGACAGAATTACCTCAGGCGGCATATTGGAATTAAAGCCAAAGGACGTATCATTCCTATAATGTTAAAGGAGCTCACGGTGGTGGAGGAGGTGAACGTGGAGAGCAAACAGAAACGCAATCACTGCAAAGCCAGATATGTTAGTCCGGGTTAAATACAGAGGAGGCTCCTCTTGCACGGACTTCCACAGTACCTGCTGGTGTTTCACACCGCTTCTCAAAGGTGGGCAGCTTCCCAATGAACACGTCTTCCTCTTCACGGCCCATTACAAAGGCCCGAAGAAGAGAGGAGGAGATAAAAACAGAGCCAGAGAGAACACATGAGGGGCGAGGAGTCCTAAGATGTGCGCGTGGCAGGAGAGCCGTAAGCTGACGGACGAGGAGCTCAGAGGCTCTAACGAGGACGAATGTGAGCCGGGCGGAGGAGAAGACCGGGCAAAGGAGGGAGGCGGACTCACTGTGGCTGAGCGGAAAGAGGGGGGAGAGGGAGAGCCGCTCTGGCTCTGGGGAGGAGAGGAGGAGAGCAAAGGTGTGCTGAGCTCCTGTGAGCAGAGGAGTCACAGCAAGGAAGGAAGGAAGGAAGGAAGGAGTGAGAGAGGAGGACACAGAGACAGAAAGGTACGTGGCGAGTTGGTGAAGAAGCTGGAGAAAGAGGAGACACAATGGCCGCAGTGAGCGTCGGAGGCGGCTTACCGATGGTGGGGGTGTTGCCGGCGCCGAGCGAGGCGTTGGAGGACAAGGAGGAGGAGCTCTCCGCCCGGGCGAGAGGAGCAGTGGGGGGAGGGCTGACGCTGTTGGAGGTCTTGGGCGGGCTGAACGGCCGCACCTGAGCACAGCGGGTCACACGGGTTAACCCAACATGGCCGCGCGTATTCTGGACGGGAGATTTGCGGCGATCACTCACAATCTCAGTGATGCCGGTGAGTTTTCCCGAGGGGAGTTTGGGCCGGGAGGAGGGTCGAGGGGGGGGCACCAGGGCGCCGGCCGTCAGCGGGGTCGTCGGCCGGTGTGGCAACGGCACTGCGCGGAGAAACACACGTCCCGCAGGTTAGCGGTGGTGAACATCGGGGGACAAACAAAACAGCTGCACATCGTGCTCCATCGGGGAGGAGGGGGGGGGGGCATCATGCACGAAGGCCTCGAGCCCAAAAAGCATCAACGCAAACGGCAACAACATGGAGGTAAAATACATTCCCAAAAAGAAACTCAAAGACAAACGTGTTGCAAAGCAGGCAGTGAGTTAGAGAAGCATTTGTCTGAAAAATAAGATGAAACAAAACAAAAAAACAACAGAATTGTCAACTTGAAATTCAAAAGAAATCCACAAAACGTACAGTTAAAAAAAAAAAGACAAAAGACGTAACTCCAAACCTCAGGCACAAGACACGTCTCTGCAGCGGTAATAATGTTACCATTGAATGCCTTGCTCGATGGAGCTGCTGCCATCGGCCTATCTGACGCCCCGCAGAAGAGCTCGGAGAAGCAGGGGTCGGCGCCCCCCCCGCAGGGCTCCTCGGCGGACAGGAAGCGGCACGACCTGCCGGAGCCGGCCGGGGGCCCCGAGCGGCGAGCCGGAGCCAAGTTATCGCCGAAGGCGATCCACTGGCTCTGGGACCAGGGCGGGAAGCCGCCGCTCTTCGGGGGGGTCCCCGCGGGGTCGGCGGGCGCGGTGATGGGCGCGCTGCGGGCCCTCGCCGGCGGGGGCGCCTGGAAGGGGTCGTCCAGAGAGTCCCGGGGCGAGGACGTGGACGAGGAGAAAGAGGAGACGTCTTTGGACTGTCGGCTCGCCGCCGCCAGAGGAGGAGCGCGTTCCCGTTGTGTCACCGACTCAGCTGACGGGGGGTCGGAGGGGGGTCGGGGGTGCGATGTGATTGAGGCGATAAATATGACAAATGCAGATTGTGAGAGTGGAAAGTAAACTGCCGTACAAGCGTTTTAAAAACGTGCGTCCCAGCAGGCAGGAGGTATGAAACAGGATCGTTTGTGTCGTCAGTTCTTCATTGGTCAAATTTGACTTTGTTACATGAATCCGTGGCCTTTTTTGGATGTATTATAATTATTGTTGTCGATAGTTTTTTACAAAAATCATACACATCCAACCAAATAACAAGTTATAACAAGAGTTAAGGGGGTTTACGGTATTGTTGCACAATCAGCACACTCAGCATGGTCCCACAAACATATAAACATCATCATTAAAACTGAAATCTACCCTTTTTTCAGCAATAAATGTGCAAAGCGATGAGCCTGATTTTAGACACTCATGAGGAAACACTTGCTGATGGTTAAAGTAGAAGCCGGTCTGAATATCACACACAGTCTGCATGCATTTGAACATGAATCAAAGGAGAAATACTACTAATACTATGAGAAGCAGTAGTTGGTGAATGCGTCGAGGCGTCCAAACCAGTTGTCACACACGCACGTTTTACCTGATGCCTCAGGCAGAAAGACGTCGGGCTCATTCATCAGAAAAGGTGGAGATGGAGGGATTGAAAGGAAGACAGAGGCGAGGTCTAACGAGAAAGGTTCATGTGCACAGATAAAAAGAATATCACATCAACTCATTGGAATGAAACCAAAAAACCTAAAAGCAAACGTTGTCAAACAGATGAAAATGCGCAAAAACAAATAAAAAAAACAAAATGTATAAAACATTTGACAAATAAGAAAGGAAAATAAATCCACACATGTTTTCATCGGGAGCTGGTAACTCCTCCACTGACGCTTTTATCCAAAGCGACTTACAATGAGTTCAACCAGGAGCGCACAGACACACAACAACAAGCGTCAAGGAGGTGGAAGCTATAAGTGAGTGCTAACGACGTGCTACCGCGTCCAGGTAGAGTCGTAGGGGTGTTTGCGTTGGATTTAATTCCCATCACCGCATCTTAATCGGGGCTCTGGCTGATGCTCTTTTGACATTTAAGCCGGGGACCTTTGACAGTAACAAGACAATGTTTGACAACATACGTGCCATTGGGCTTTAGGGCCCGCCCTCTGACCTCGACGAGGTGCCAATTAACTGTGGATTACGCTTAGCCTAGGCGACGGGTCAGCGCTAATGTCACTCTGTTTAAGCGCCGGTGTCATGCACGTAAAGCCGTGAGATTCACTCTGCAAGTTCAGTGACACAAACACGGTAAAGAGTGCAACACGGAGAAGACAAAGCTGCCGTTTAAACTCCCTCAGGTTGAACATCAAGGGTCAGTTCCTCCACCTGGGAGGAAAAGCTCGGAAAAGGGAGCCGACTACATGATGTACAGAGACGAGATCAAGCTACAGGAAGAGCAAAATGAAGGGACTCAAACGCGGGTCCCTTGTTGTAATTCTTGAGGTGTTCATCGTATCAAACACGGCCAGCGGGTTAACTTGCCGTTTCCACCTGCGTGAACCGGGAGTGAACACCTGAGGCCCTTTAAAAGGACTCACAGAAACCATGTGATTGGTGCAGCGGGGCGGTGGGGTTCACCTGCTGATGAGGACAGGGAGGAGGCGGAGCCTGCCGCGCGGGTCGGGCCGAACGGGTCCAGAGACAGAAGGTCGTTGTTGCTCAGTCTGCCGGAGGAGAGAGAGAGAGAGAGAGAGAGAGATCAAACGTAAGAGTGTTGCCGTTTCCCTATAAGCGGCACAGATGCTGTCAACTGAGCGAAGACGGGGGATGGGGGGGGTACGTACTCGAATGGCGTCGGCACTCTGGCCTTTCCCAGCTCGTCACCTGCAGAGAGAGGAGAAGCCAACGGAAGGTGAAGACGACGCCAGCGGGAAGGAGGAGGGACTCAAAGCACAAGAAGGTTTCCCCGGCGACAGCGGTTCAATCATGTTTCATCGTGAGCTCACTCACAGAACGATTCAGGTTGGATACACTTGTTATTGCTGCTGAACAAGATGGTAACACTTTACAACTGGGGATGGAGTCGCTCGGCGACTCGCTTTAGGTATCGTGTGCCCCCGTTTCTAAAGTGTTACAGAAGATCCGTACGAGCCACCTGAAGCAGCAGAGGTAAGAGGAGAGAACAAAGAGGACTCGGGGTGAAAAGCACACGGGGGGGAATCAGTGGTGTTAGCTGGAGTCGGAGAGGGTTGGAGGCTCACTACCGTAGAGGAAACATACTCACCGAGACCCTCAGGGCTTAACGCAGGAGCTCTGGTGATCCCTAAGCGTGTGTAGAGTATACATGTATCAATGCAATACCGTGTGATTCATATTCCTCTGGGCCTCATGGAGTGAGATACATGAGCACTTTGACATGTGAAAATATAAACAGACAATAAAGCAAATCCTCTTATTTGTTCCAGCCCTCAAGAACCAGAGGCTAGTGTGTTGGTTTTGGCCAAGTTTCTGGACTTTTCTATCAGACAACCTCTTTAAAATCAACTGGTGCCAAATAGAAATGTAGTGGAGGGGCCGTAAAGTCGCCCCCCCCCCCTCCCACATCATCCACATGCAGACACGGCCGAGCAGAGGAAATACTCACTGGACTGGTTCCTCCGCATCTGACCCTGAAAGCAAAAACAGACACCGATTCATCAACGACGCATTCGACCCACCGCCAGGTTTCAACTGTTGCTCGGTTTGTTAGAGACAAATGACGGGGAGGAGGAGACGCCGCCCCCCCGACCTCCCCCCACCTCCCACAGGAAACGCTAAACAGATCAACCAAAGTGAAAGCAAGTATGCGAAGAGTCAACACGAGCAGCGTGTGGAGGCTCAGACCTCCGTCCAGAGGTAGGAGACATCGAAGCCTTTAAAGTGTTTTGTGGTACCATATTATTACCATTCTCATTGTGTAAAGGTCGGGAAGAGAAGAAAAAAAGGGTGTTATTATTAATTATTCCCAGTGGAAAAGGGAATTTTCCACTTCAGGGTTGAAGACAGTAAATCACAGGCCTCGCACATACCAGACGTTAAACCTAGGGTGAAGCACTCAGCGGCGCAAAACCACGCAGCTACGAGCGCGCGAAGCCATCAACCCCCTCACCCCCCCCCCCTGATGCGCCCCTGAAGCGCCCCTGATGCCCCCTCACCCCCCCCGACACTTCACCAACTTCCTCTGCAGAGGCTTCTTCTCTGGACAATACTGATCTGCAGCGTCAGGCTACGAAGCACAAGATTAACTGGTAAGGGTCACCAACCCGACGGAGGCTTAGAGCATCATTTCCATAAAGAACAGGAGGAGAAAGGTGGTGTGTGTGTGGTGGGGGGGGGCGGCGTATTGTCAAGGGAGGAGGACAAAATGGGTTTAAGGATCACAGCAAAAAGCATTTAACCACCGTCGAGCTGCGAGGCCGAGGGTTCGGTCCCACAGGCGCTAAGCGGCAAATGGGTTCAATTACTGCTCCTCGCCGGCCACACACACGACTCCCAGCGCCGCTCCAATGAAGGGAAGACCGCAGAGGAGAACCCGACAGGAGGAGGAATGAAAAGGACAGAAAAATGAGCGCGGAGGAGGAAAAAAAAAAAAGGAAGAAGAAAAGAGAGAGAGAGAGAAGGAAATCTCTCAATAACTCACACCAGATGACGCGACGTTCGTCATCACCTCCGACGTATGTTTTAACTTTTCTGTAAACGTGAAATAGGAAAAAGGTGCGGAACGGAAAGCTGGAAAGCAGCGACGATTTAATGACTTCTGGTATTTAAATGCAAATGAGAGTCGGCGCACACAAACGGCGCTGCGTGTTTTTTGTGGGTTTGAGTCGAACAAAGTGAAAAAAAACGTCCTCTGTGAACTAAAAACGCATCGTTCATTCTTGGGGTGAAAATGAAATGAAACATTTGTAAAAACAAGCCTTTTTCGACCTCATGAAGAAATCGAGGCTGACGACGGAGGAGATGCCGTGACACTCGTCTCTCCTCCGGCGCGACACCGAGCACAACAACAACAACAGCAACAACAACAGCAACGACACACCAGCCGGCTTTTAAAGTTTAATGGCGGCGGAGAGCGACGCTAAGGGCCGAGCAGAGGTCACGGACCGGACCGGGCCGGGCTCCGTGTGGCTTCCCAACCCAGAAGAGAGCGTGTGCGTGTGTCTGCACACGTGTCTCTTCTGGGTTTCTCAGTTTTTGGTATTTTTTCCTCATTAAAAAAAGGAGGAAACTTAATTTAAAAAGTACAGATAATTCATGAAAGGATGAATGTAAAAGGTCTTAAATAAGTGGGAGTGCTGTTCAGTGGCTCGCTGAGGTTACATCCCCCCCTGTTGCCCTCTTGTGTTGCTGCAGCCACGCTGGTAAGGTTTGGGATTCCTCTGTGTGTGTGTGTGTGTGTGTGTGTGGGGGGGGATAAAGGCCCTCACCGAGGCGGAGGGCGACAGGATGATGTTCCCGATGGAGGCCTTGAGCTGGTCGATGGAGGCCCGGTTCTGGGGGGGGCCGTGGTTGGGCTGGACGGGCTTGATCTCCACGTGGAACCTGCGGGGCTCCTCGTCGTCCTCGGAGTCGCTGGACGAGTAGAAGGAGTTCTCTTTGGCATGTGAGCGCGCCGACAAGGAGAGGAGTCAAGGAGGCAAAGGGCAGAGCGCAGGAGACAGGAGACTCGTTGACCGAGCGAGCCGACGGACAAACGGGGACAGATTACTCGCGAGGTGCTGAGCAGACGGTTGCAAAGGATATCGTTTTCGTTTGCTTCCGGTCGGATACAGAAACCGTCTGCGTCCACCTGAGGAACATTCTACAAAAAGAGAAACGGAACCAGTCACTAAGTGTTAGCAGTAGCTGCTACGAGAGCTACATTTTGCTGGCTAATATTTGAATAACTATTACAAGGATTAGTTGATATACACGACAACGAGCAGCACGTTTTTCAATTAGTTTATGGATATGAATATAGAAAATACAAATGCACAGAACGTGATATCAATATTGTGTGTGTTTCTGTTTGTGTTCGCTTGCTTACTGCATTCTGGATGTCTATGGCGCCGTAGTAGCCGGGGTGAGCGCCGTTGGCAGCGTTCTACAAGCACCAACAGAGAGAAACGAACGAATGAATGAATGAGCAAATCTATAACGCAAAGCAGAGGGCGCGCACAGGGAGACAGAGAGAGGAGAGAGAGATGAGGATGTTTTCCACCTCCTACTTCTTGAGGTCAATGGAACACGGGGATCGAATATCGACTAAATCAAAGTGGAGGTATAACTGGTTCTTTGGGTGAATCTTTTACTCACAGCAGCTTCCACTTCTGTCGACTCCCTGGAAGACAAAATCATCACATTACGGTGAAGTTGTAACTTTTAAACGGGGGGCGCTTTGTGGATTTAAAGGCGGTCTTCACTCACATGGAGTCGGTGTCTTTGTCTTTCCTTCGACCGGGGATTCCAAATGGTTTTCTCTTTCTGGGTTTGGCACCTTAGCAAAAAGGGAATAATGTTGTAAAACATTGGGTTCAACTTGCTTCACTGAAAAAAAATATATACTTCAGTTGCAGCTTTTATCTTGAATTGAGACTCACCTTCAGTAGCAATGGCTGCATTGCACTCCTCGAACTCAATGGGTCCTAATGACACAACAAAAATAACCTTTTAGGTTAATGGGGCGCAGAAAGGGTCAATGACCCACTGCTGTGAATGCACACACACACACACACACACACACACACACACACACACACACACGACACACAGACGAGCAGTAAACCTCCAAAGGTGCAAACCCCTTCACAATAAGAGCACAATGCAGCGACGTGTTCAGAGACACGTGCGGACACGATGCACGTCTCTCTCTCTGGCTCCGACGTGCAAAGGAAACACACACCCGCATTAACAGATGGAACTAACAAACTGTCGCATCGGTCCCAGCCGACGGTCGTCATAACAACAGCGCTGCCCGTCATTCAGATCCATCATTCGAGTGACGAGGAAGAAAAACAACCAAGTTCACACCTAATTTTAATGCTCAACAATTAATACAGATGTGCCTCCGAGGGCCCCGCACTCGGGACGAGTGTGCACGCCCCGAAATCCAGCGTGTGCGTTGTGTCTACGAGAGAGCGACGCCTCGCCGACGGGATGAAACGTGATGCAACATCTGGATCAGACGGTGGACACGCATCACAGCAGAACCAACCGCCACTTCCTCCTTCCTCCTTCACGTGACGTGCAGTCTGTGCTATCAGACCTGATGGATTTAACTAGAAAGCTTAATAGCTTGTAAGATGAGAGGGGGAGAGGGGGGGGGGGGGGGGGAGGAGGGAGGAGGGGGGGAGGACCCTCTGGCCATATCTCTGATACACTAACATGCCATGACCTGAAAACAACAAAGCTAATGATATTTTAACTCAAACTGTATACAGCGGCAGCAGAGCGGCTCCCCCCCCTCCCCCCTCCCAGAGGACGGCGGTCGCAGAGCAGAATCCACGCATTGTCTGGCGTGCGCAGCGCCGAGTGAAGCGCAGGGAAGCGGCGAGTCACGAGAGGCGCGCATCACGCCAAGTGAAGTGGATGAAGTACACCAATGACTCTACTCTACTGTGCGATATCGGGCCTCTGCACACCGCCGGCGGGAAGCGAGCCGGAGCTCGACGCCAAACACAAACTAAAGCGCCACGCGTGCGAGGGGAGGGGGGGGAGGGGGCACATTTTCTCGCAGTCATCTTGTTTTGGACATCACGTCTCGCTCGCCGCGCCGGAAAAAAAAACGAAACACACGCGCCGCTGCGGGATGTTTGACGAGCTCCGTGCGTCTACGTCACGGGGCCGGGACGCCGCTGGCATCCCGCGATTGCATCTGACAATATTTATGCACACCAACGGCAACAAAAAAGAAAAAAGACAAGTCCAAACACCAGACACATGACTTCTACCTAAACGTGGGCAGACGTGAGCGGTTTGGACGCGTCCTAAACAGACTGGGTTTAATCGGGGGAAGATGTTCCTTCTCTTTCTACTCTCTGTGAGGGAAGCGCGCAGTCACGCATGAGCGGAGGATGCGTTTTTTTTTTTTAATCTAAATTGCATATGCTTCACATGGCACTGGGAGTGGGAGAGGGGCATGGGGGGGTAGGCAGGAGGGGGAGGAGGTGGGTTTGCGTGTCTGGCCCCCCCCCCAGTTGCCAGTTCAGCGGGATTTGGTAAAACCTTGGGCCCCCCCCCCCCCCCCCACCCCCTCGCCTCGCAGCGTGTCACTTTGAGATTGTTTCCGCAATAGAAAGTTTATTCAACCTCTCTCTCTCTCTCTGAAGGCCCCGGACCGGCCATCCGTTCAGCTATTTAATCAGCGGGCGACAGGTTATTGTCCTGACAGGGCCGGGGCCGCTGCGTGATCCCTAGTGAACAGCTTGATGCGGGGAGGAATTTTCTGACCGTTTCTTTGGCCTCAATTAATTCTGCTGTCCAAACAAATGACGGCCACCACTGCTCGGACGCGGCGTCTGCGCTCAGGGGTCACCGTTTGTGTACACACAAACGCAGCAGAGGTGAAGCCTTTGTGTCTGCGGCCTCCTCACGTAAAGTGCAGGGGGAGAGAAGTGAAGATGGGGGACGGGGGGGAAACGGGGGTCCCCAAACTCAGCGATTTCTACCCGTTAAAATAGTTACTAGGGAGCAACAAAAGTCTCTGCAAAAGCATCTGAGGGTCACTGAAGGAGCAGCGTGTGTGAAAGGGAGGAAGGTGGGATGGGGGGGTGAGGGGGGGGGGCGCTGGTGAGCTAAAGGGCTCTGAGCAGTATTCCCTTGATTATTGTGGCATGGCAAAGTTTACACAAGAGTCATTGTTGAGCTCTGACCTCCTGAAAAGGCCGGTTCTGCCTGCTTAGTCTGCCCCCCCCTCCCTGTGTGTCACATGCTTAGTGGAATGCCAAGCCTGCCCACCTTTACAGCAGATTACTATGATTGACTCTGATTACTCTCTTACTTCTAATTGCCCCTCTCGATAAAGCCCCCCCCCCGCCCCTCTTCTCCACGCAAGGCCGGAGCAGGCGGAAGACCACAGAAAAGCCCCCCCGACAAACGTTAGCATGAAGCAGAGAAGGCTTACCTGGCCTCTCTTTGCCCGTTCCTTTGCTCTCGGACAGCTTGAGCACTAAGCTCTCCACCGACGTGTTCTCAATGTTCCTCACAAATTCAGTGTGGACCTAAAAGGGACGGAAAGGACAACTGAGGTTGGACAAGAATCAGCAGCATTTCCTCTGTGGTGGGTTCCGTGTTATTCACTGCGATCAGTTACCGAACACGTTTGTTTTGGGTCATTTGCGGTGGAAAAACTGAAGAGCTCCTGGAGGTGTTTCGGTTCTCTGGAACAACACCTGCAGATGTTGTATTGATTTGATTTGTAGGTAAAACCCGTTTATCCATATTGTCACGTGAGACTAAATCATACACAGACTGCTCTATTTACCCTCTTAGTCTCCTTATAGTCATTTCTGATTTACATCATGACCATTACGTTTTAAACCACAGGACTGTAGTGAGGAAGAGTCCCCCCCCCCACCTGCTCAGGTCTGAACCTTTAAATACATGAAGTGCTCGTGCTCGCTGGGGGGGGCCGACAGCTGACTTTTACCGCTTCTGTTACGCCACATCACACAAGTGAACATCAGCCTCACGCGGCGAGCGTTTAGGGCCGTTTGTTTTCGTGACGCGCAGCCGAACGAACGCTATTAATCCTCGCCGGCGCCGCTTTGCCTGTAGTTGGTGTTTTCTAATGGGTAACGTTTATTTCCTGCAGACGCACTGGCCTTCACTGAGAGGGACGCCCTTTGTGTCGGCGTTGTTGGCGCTGCGTCCAGGCCCTTGCTTTGGGTGATGTGCATGTGTGCACGTGTGCATTTGTGCACGTGTGCATTTGTGCACGTGTGCGCGCTGAGGGGGAAGCTGACGCGCCGCACAGGCAGCGGGCTGAGGAGCAGTGGCCGACTGTGCCGTCTCGCCGGAACCCATTCAGATGTTCGTGATACTGTGAGCGGCTCTCACCATCAATTCAGACACACATGCAAACACACACACACACACACACACACACCGGCACGGCCCAGTAGCGAAGGTAGAGTGCATTAGCCTTCTGTGCCCTGGCAGGAGAGGATGTAGGTTGGTTGTTGCGGTTGAGGGAAGTACGCTCAGAGCAGCACACGCGATCAGTCGGGTGCTGTTGCCCGTGACGGAGGGCAGTAATGTCGTCACACACACACACATACACACACACACCTCGTACCGTGGAGACCTTTGACCACATGCTGGAAACATGCATCTGCCTTCAAGGGATCAACACACACAAACACACACACAGACACGCTCACTTACAAAAGCAAACACAGCACGCTGACCTGGCCGACACACCTGCCCTGGTGTGTGTGTGTCTCTCGGACCCGTCTATATATGGCGCTTTCATTTTCCGGCGCTCGCCTTTCATCCTCTCTAACCCTCTTATCCTTCATGCCCACTGAGCCGATGCCGGCTGAGCCTCGTCTCAAAATACCCGCCAGGTTGACGTGATCCCTCCTTTACAGGTGACACAAGCCCCGCCCCCTCCCCACGAGCCGCACCTCCCCGCATGTTCTGTGGACAGGAGCTCCGCCATTTTCCTGTTCACCTGGAGGTTAACTACCCCCCCCCCTCTCCCTCTCTGCAGGCCGCTCTGATCGCCGATAGAATATATATATATTTTTTTCCTGGTATTGTATATTCATTTTGTTAATTTGTTGCAACATATGAAAATAGGCTTAATAAAACCTGAAATATGTATTAATATACACTATAAAAAGGAATTTAAGCTTAGTAAAATTGTAACATTGTAATATTAGATTAAAAATAAGTAACAGTGACCTGCTTTAATCATTTTAATGTACTTTTTTTTTCCTTCAGCTCATCTGCACTCACCTTGCCCACAAATCAGATTCCACCCCCCCGGGGGGAGCTTTGTTTACAGATGATTGTCTCTCGTGCTGCATTCATTCACTCAAATCAGAGCACTGTTTGTCATCACATTATTATTATTATTGAAGAGATGCAGTGGGACACATGCAGTAAGTCAGTTTAGTATTCAAAGTTTAAAAGTAAATGGCGTAACAAACAGGGATAAAAAGCCGACGAATGACACGTAGCAGGTGAACGTCCGGTCCTCTGTGTGTGTTTGTGTGTGTGCGTCTAACCAAACAACGACAAACCTCACAATATTCTACACTTTAAATGCAAACGTATGATTTCTGTGTCAGTGTGAATGCCCGTGAGCTCAGTGACGAAGCACAAACTGACGCAGATACAAACTGCCCCCCCCCTCCCTCCTGCCTCACCCTCGTGTGATCATAATATTCAAGGCCGGTCCCAACCTGGTTTGAGCTCATCAACCAAACCCCAATTTCTAGGCCCAACAGGCAGGAACCGGGGGGGGGGGGGGGGGGGGGGGGGGCGGTAACCCGCGCCGGCCTGTCGCGCTGCATTCTTTTCCGACTAGCAGCGAGGCGCTCTCGGTGGAGCCGCGGCGCCCTCTGCGGGCGCTGAGAGGACTGCAGCAGGCGAGTGGGTGAGGAGGGGGGGGGGGGGGCACGGAGCAGCAGATTGCAGTCTGTCTCTGGTTCTGTGCGCCGCTGGTAAGTGTGATTGCCGAGTAAATAAACGGAGAGGGAAATCTCCGGTTAACCTCGGGGGCGGGGGGGGGGGGATGAATACGGCGGCGGATGGTGTTTGACAGCCTTCACGTGGACGACGCGATCCGCCCCCGATGCCGCTTCCTCAAAAGCCAAAACACACACACACACCGCCGGAAACAAACAGCACGCTCGGCCCCGCCGGCGAGCGCCCTCGACTCCCGGAGGTGTCTCGGATCGGGCGGGGGGGGAGGAGGAGGGGGGAGGAGGGGGGAGTTTTGATCAGCCTTTAATTGCTCGGCATAAAGGGATGACTGGAGCATTTCCTGCTTCTCAGTCAAACGATTAGCGAGATCAAAGACGACACTAATTGACGTGACACGCGGTGAACCCGGCGAGCGGAGCCCTCAGGTCAACGGGACGCCGACTCCACCCACAGGAATGTTCCACAGCACGTGTGTGTGTGTGTGTGTGTGTGTGTGTGCGTGAGCTCACACTCACCTCTCCTATTTGGATGTGCGTTTCGTCGACGGACTGCGAGTACGACCGGATGATCTCCTTCATGTGCACGATGTGGTTTTCTTCGATGTCTTGGAATTTCTGCAACACAAAGCCGGAGGCGCGACGCGACGCAGTTATTCGGGTGCAAACAGATCTGAGACTCGTGGAGTCAAGTGACACGAAACAGGGCATGAAAACGAGCAGAGAGAGAGAGAGAGAGAGAGAGAGAGGGCAGCGTAGGATACACTTCACCTCCTAATTCTGCCCCGGCCACTTCCTGTGTGTCTGTCTGGGTGGTCTGTGTCGCACACACACACACACACACACACACACACACGCACAGATGCTTCCACACTGATTCTGTTTTGTGAAACACATCAGCGGAGGTCCGTTCTGCCTTTGGCCGCTGGCAGAGTGCAGATAACGACTTCAAATGAGTGTGTTTGCTCCCCACTGGAGTCTGACTCGGGGCTCCTGGGGGTTAACCGGGGAGACGGAATAAAAGAATGAAAAGAGAGGACGCGGAGGAAGCGTCGCCACAGATAAAGAGCCGCTCGCTGCCGCCGGCTCGCGGACGCACACACACACACACGCACATGAAGGGAACACATGTAGTGATGTCACAGAGAACATGTGTTGGCTGTTTATAACTCACGCCGTAGACTGTGGTGTCTGAAGCTTGGCTTTCTCTTGGGAGTGTGAGGGGGCCGGGGGGGGGGCAGCAAAAACAAACGGCGAGCTAACTAGAACCACTTCTGGTGGCGGAGCGGCGGCGGCGGCCGTGCGGGAGGATTTGGAGGCCAAACACTGGTGATCTGATTTTAATTTGGAGTTTATCTAATCAGACCTTCAGATGGATCCAATCAGGCCTTTCCACAGCGGTTCCGTTCCAGAGGAGGAAAACACAATCTGGAGCGGATGAACACACACACACACACACACACACACACACAGAGGCGGGACCTGGAAAGGGTTCGTACCTGAGCAGTTTCTGCCATCTTCTGTTCAAACTCCGACTTGGCCGCAGCGTATTTCTCCACGAAGGACTTGTAGGTCTCCGTGGCTTTTTTGGCTTTCACTCCGGCCTGCCAAAGAAACAAAAACCCACAAAGTCAACAGCGGTTGTCGCGTTGTGCGCCGCGCCGTGCACACACGCGCACGCCTTGTTTTTCCAGATCGAATTTTAAAACCGACAAGAGGCCGACCTCCATTTAATGCCTGAAGGCACCTCGTCGTGCCTCACTGCCCCACGGTACACAGGTGTGTGTGACCCCCCCCCAACCCACACACCCACACACACACACACCTTGTCCACATCTCTCTGGGTGGCCCCGTCTTTGCGGAGGCGCTCCTGCTCCACGGTCTTGGCGTTGTAGATCTCCTTGGACTTCTGCAGGGCCTGAGAGGTGGTCTGGATGTTCTGCACGGCCTCCAGGGTGGACGCCACCTCTTCTTTAGTCTGACAGACACACAAATAGTCGGATTTCTGATTCTTCTGTTGTGAAGAAGAATTCCCTTCATAACACATTCACATCTTATCTCATTCTCATCGTGTCTATGTATTCATGTTGAAAGACATAAAAAGAGCTGCGATGCGGTGAGTTTGGGCGTTTGTTTTGCTCGCCCTCGTCTCCGAGCCCCTTTTGCTGCTCACGTTGACAGGTTACGTACACATTGTGAGCAGCCCCTCCAAGACGGGTGTTTACTTTGTGTTATTCACACCGCTTTACTGCAGCAAGCGGCGCATCTGTGAGCCAGCCAGCAAACACGGAGCGGGGAGGAGGAGGAGCAGGGAAGTGATGGAGAGACGCTGTGGCAGCCTTTTTCTTACGCTCAACGCACAAACGCACAACCCGGGCTCCTCTTTGGCTTCTTTGTTGCCGTTGTGTGGCTTCATGCGTGAGACGCGAGGCGAAGGTTCCTCAGCAGAGAGGAGCAGTGGAGGAGTGAAGGGTCAGAGGAAAAGAAGCTACGCAGAGCGGCGCCGCACGCTAGCTTTTCTCAGGGTTGAAATCAACGGTTAAATCTACTCCACTTTTCCAGGGGCGTAAATCAACAGGGAGGTGAGAACGGCTTCATAATCAAAGGCATCCATCACACCTGTTATTAAATAAATAACACTGGTTATTTATCAGTAGTTTGTGGGTTCATACATACCGATCTCAATATGTGTGTGTAGCGCCTGTAATGTAATGGTACTATAGTGATATGAGAGGGGGGTGTGTGATATGAGAGGGGGGGGGCGTGTGATATGAGAGGGGGGCGTGTGATATGAGAGGGGGGGCGTGTGTTTGATATGAGAGAGGGGCGTGTGATATGAGAGGGGGAGGCGTGTGATATGAGAGGGGGGGGGGGGGGCGCGTGTGATATGTGGGGGGGGGCGTGTGATATGAGAGAGGGGCGTGTGATATGAGAGGGGGAGGCGTGTGATATGAGAGGGGGCGTGTGATATGAGAGAGGGGCGTGTGATATGAGAGGGGGAGGCGTGTGATATGAGAGGGGGGGCGTGTGATATGAGAGGGGGGTGTGTGATATGAGAGGGGGGCGTGTGATATGAGAGAGGGGCGTGTGATATGAGAGGGGGGCGTGTGATATGAGAGAGGGGCGTGTGATATGAGAGGGGGGCGTGTGATATGAGAGGGGGGCGTGTGATATGAGAGGGGCGTGTGATATGAGATCCTGAACACTTCTTCATGAGTTCTTCCGTCCGTCTCCTTACCTTCTTGTGTGCTTTGGCCTGCTCCTCCACATACTTCTGGACCTCTTTTATAAGCTCCTGCAGCTTCCTCACAAGCTCCATGTGACAGCTGGCCAGCTTCTCCGTGGAGGTCTTGAACACATCCCACACCGGAGCGAAGGTCCTGGAGGGAGAGACGACAGCCTCCTCACATTCACTCGCTCGCTCACTCGTTCACGTCTTCGGGGGAACCTGCACAACGACGTTCACACTCACCCGAGCTGAGAAAAGTTGCCGGCGGACTTGGCGAGTTTGGTCATGGACCGGGCGTAGGCTTCTTCGATAGTGCTCCTGGGAGAGAGCGGGAAGAGACCCGACGGGTTATGGAACGTCAATATTGGTGAGAAAAGTCATTTATAACTTTGGTAAGTTATTTCCAAAAGGATTAGCAGGTTGACGTGCGGCTTGGCCTGGCATTTGTTCGTAAACCGTGTGTGGAAGCTGTACTGTTTGGATCCGCTGCTTCTCACTATTTCCCTTTTTTTATTCCTTCGTCCTTCAGCAAAGTGACACATTTAAAAAAAACGAAAACAAATCTTTAAAAACCCGCGGTAGTGTTATAGTGGAAGCTTGAATTATGCATGACTCATTTAGCAGGCCTTCCTCTGCAGTCGCAGGATCAAGGTCAGCCAGGGGAGTAACACACACACAGACACACACACAGATACACATCCAGCGTAACAACGCTCAGGATGGCAGAAGCTAGAAACGCGTGACACGCTGCATCCCTACTTCCAAAGACTTTTAAAAAGCTTCCTTCTGTTGCAGATTGTTGCTCCGCTGTTAAATATGATATATTCAGTCCGATTGTCATTCACATTAATTACAGCCCCTCTTTTGTTGTGTGTAGAAATAACTAGCAGGGTGTCACAGAGTCGATACATAATAACCTTCACTATATTGTAACCATTTTTTTGCCTTGAAAACTGAAATTTGGTCAAGACATTCTTGAACGGATCTAAACCCAAAGTTTCCTACTCGCAAACCAGGAGAACTCTTTCCATGAGTAGTATCCCAAATCCATACTTTGGTACATTTATGTTGTATGCTCAGATGGGAAGAAACAATATGAGGTATAACCGTTAAAAAGCAGTAGAATAGGCTGCTTCTTCAATGGTTGTAGCCAGAAACAATCCTCCCATAATGCAATGCGTGAGTGCGGTTGCCTTGTCGTACGGATTTGGGAAAAACTGTGCGAGATGAAAGTGTCTTCGGATTCTTTTTAGTCTTGTTCGCGTCGCTCCAAGATCATTTTTGGTCCGGAGGTTGCCGCGTTACCTCCTTTCAGAATAAAAGAAGGAGTGAGAGTGAAACAGCAGCGGCCACAGCTCATGAGCTTCCTTCTCCACCAGGGGGAGCCGACGAGCTGTTCTCCAAGAACAAACAACAACAACCAGGAGTCGCTGATTTTAAACCCAGCCTGTGAGAAGCACAACACAACCAACGCATCGGTCTCCTTCATGGGCTGATTCCTTCGTATAGTTAAACAGCAGCGTTCCTGGACGGATGGTTAATATTTAAGCAAAGTGAAAGGCCGAGAGGTGATTGGGTTTGAAGCGGGCAGGTGAGCGCCCAGCTGCACAGACGGTTTCCCCCCCTCTGGAGCCTCCCGCTAACTGTCTGTCTGAATCGTCGTCATTGATGAGGGTTTTCCAAACACGGCGTACGGAACGCGGGCCGCGCCGAGTGCCGGAGTGAGCGCGTGCAGAGGAATCCGCGGCCGGCCGTCCATCACGCGGCAGGTTATAAACACACAGCTTCAGGGATGCGGGGAGCACTTTGAAACCAAGCTATTATTACGGTATCCTCCAGATGCAGACGGACGGTGTGTAACGCGTAGTGGGGTTGCGTGTGGTTACGTTTGCAAAACGTCCTCAGACCTCCACCAAGTCACAATGTTCCACTTATTGAGTAAACCTACGCTTTGTTTTTCTGAGGAATACGGGGAACCTCCTCAACAGATATGAATCTGCGTAGAAGCGGCTGAATTGATCAGTTTAGTGACAAAATAATAACCGGTTTAGGCTGTGTTTGTTTTCATTTAAATGACTGTGAGGAAAGTCGTGGGAAGAGCGGATGTTTGTTTTTGCTCCCATTATCACATGACCGTGTATTATCTGGAACGACGGCCAGCCGTTTGGAATATGAAAACAGTTACACATGTTAAATACTTCATAGATTGGGCCGATTCCCTCGTCAGTCGAACAAACAGAACTCATGGAGGCCTTTCATAGCTTGAATAGTATAAATAAGCCACAATTATCCAACAAATGGCACCATTCAGGCTCCCTAAGGAGGGCAGATGTTGAACTAAATACTATAGGAGGAATTCTGGGAACTTCTTGGCAACCCGTATCCCAGTGAATATGTTTCTGTTTGGGACGTTTCATCGATTCATAGAAGAAGAGGAAGGTATTTTACTGTGATAAGTTCCCGTGTTTGTTACCACCAAGAACTCCGGCGCGCTGCCTTTACATACCACGAAACAGGTCAGACGGGTGGGGAGGGAGGACGAGGCCTCGCTGCGCGTCGACTACGTGGAAGAGTCTCACCTTTCTCTGATGAAGTCCGTCAGCTCCTTGGAGGAAATCTGCCCGTGCTTCATGTTGTGGTAGAGAACGTCGAAGCCATTGTTTTTGTCCCCCTGCGTTTCACAGACAAAAAAAAACAACAACAACAAGGGATTAGTCCAAAGCAAAACAAACGAGCCCCCCCCCCCTCCTCCTCCTCCTCCACCTCCTCCTCCTCCGGTCCTCCGGGGTTCTGATCCGAACAAATACCGGGAGGGCCTTCTGGACGAGAAGCGTCCTCGCGGCCTGGTTGGTCCCCAGCTCCGGCCTCTGGTCCAGCATCCCCGCCCTCGCCATGTTGGACGGGAACGAGCGCTAACGGATACGCTCCCTGTACCAGAGAGGGCCGCGGCCTGTGGTGGCGGAACCATGACGATAGGTATCCAGGTTGCAGCGACGCCTCCAAAAGAAATCGGGGCACCGCCGGATAATTATGGCTACCGAAGAAAGATCTGCCATCCAGCTGCTGATATTCGTACCTGGAATATAGGAATTAGATCGGCGGCAAATAAAGACTGGATTTGGCGCAACTCAAATTAATTCAAGAGCAACAAATTATTCTATTACTAAAACACCTTCCTGGTTCAGAAACAGGCCATGAATGTATTTCTAGGTCATCGCAGACACGCAGGTAATTATGCGACGTGATTATTGAAAACAATCTGCAGAACAGAAAACTAGCTTTGAGAAAACGTAGAAACAGTCGGTGGTTTGTTGAATCACTCACGAGCCGAAGGATTTAAACAGTAAAACAAAGACACGAGATCTGAATCAAGATTGTCTCATAATGTCTGGTGTTTACATCATTAAGAATACATAATACTACTAGGATTCATTTGTCAAAGGAGGAGGAACCGGATCCTCGTGGGGCCTTTGGTTAGGTTTGTATTTGGGATTAAAGCTGAAACTGTTTCAGCGCTGACCTCGGTACGCCGACCGCTCGGCTGTGGTGGTCGTCAAGGCAACGCAACAAGTGTCCGACACCCCAAACCGCTGCTGTTTTTCTTCACGTTCCTTCAAGAAAACAAAAAGTCACTTTCTGGGAAGAAAGGAGAAGAAACGTTTCACTTCCTCATCGGGCTGAGAGGAGCTCCACCAAAGCCTCTGACCACCGGCGTGCTCCACCCAAACAAAGACCAAGGACGTTGGTGCAGACGTTCAGAGGAGCCACCTCTGCGTGACCCCCCCCCGACCCAGCGGCGGAACCGGACGCCTCCTGGTTCCCCGCAGCCATCCGCCGCCAGCGGTTTGGAGTTCTGCGGCTCGCACAAACCAAAGCAAGACGTGTTGTTTTTCCAACGCTGACACAGACGAAAGGTCAGGACGTCCGTGTCAAAGCGGAGCGCAGAGGTCGCTCTTTATTTACAGAGCAAGTAGACTCTCTCTCTCTCTCTCTCTCTCTCTCTCTTCCTGTTGCGACGAGACGACAAAGCTTTGGTCGCCCAAACCCCAAACTGCTGCCCCCCCCCCGCGCTCATCATGTGACCAGACAGGAAAGGCGAGACGCGAGATGTGAGCAGTGCGCTCACATGACATCTGCACGGACCCGCGAGAAGCTGAAAGCGAGGCCCCTCATTGGCCGGCGGGCCGGCAGAACAGGGAAGTGACAGAAAGCGAACAGGAAGGTCTGTTCAGCGGCGGCGGTGGCGGCGGCGGCTGCTGCGCCGCTCCGGCGGAATGTGAGAACAATGAACACAAAAGAAGAAAGAATAAAACAACTACAAACACAGGAAGCAGCTCTGGGCGGGATTTTTTGTGTGGGGGGGGGGGGGGGGGTGCAGCAGGTTGCAGATGAAGACCTGGAACACCTGAGACTCACAATCAGCCTCTTATTGGTCCAGCAGCCAGTTTGTGCGACTGCGTCTCAGGGGGAAGTGAGACTGGCCGCGTTTCTCCACTTCCTCCTCTGGACCCTCACTGAGGTCTTATTCCCGGAGCCAGAGGTGCTCGCTGCTCTTCAGTTATGATGGAGGGCTGTTGTTGTTGTTGTTGTTGTTGTTGTTGTTGTAGTTTTTCACTCCCCGCCCGACCACGGGCCAATCACACCAGAGAGAGAGAGAGAGGTCTGACTTCATCAGACAAATCCAAAACAGGGAGCATGAAAAGCAGCAGGCGCCGCGTCGCCGGGAACGAGGTTTTCACTCATAAGCAGGAGAGACGATCATCATCGAAACTCATTCATTATGAAGCAAACGGAGGCTCCGTAGACGTTTGACTCCCGTTGACTTCTTTCCCCTGAAGACGACTTAAAGGGACAGTCCAGACACGACGGAACTACGGTGCCCAAAAGAGAGACGAGGGAAAGCAGGTGGAGATTTCTGGAAAGACGTGTTGCATCGCTTTGAGTGACACGCGGGAAAGATATGTGTGGAATGTTAATTACCTACAGTTCCTATTCATGAGAAACATTATTATATTATAGTTTGTAAAATCAGAGGAAGGGGAATATCTTATATATGTTTATACACACTCTACTTGTTTAGATGATTACTAGATTCATCCTCTGCTGGATCAAAAGACGATATTGATAGTCAATAAAACATGGAAGTCATATTTCCAGCAAAAGCATCAGATGTAGTTTCTCACCCGGGGGGGGGGGGGGAGGGGCACGTCTCAGCAGGGAAGCCACACCACGGACAAAACACACAACGCAACAATAACCGTCAGTATGCTCAATCTGAACTGAACACCTTAAAGGAGAGATAAAGCAAACCACAGCGCTGCAGCTTATCGGCTAACATCTGGAATCCTCTCTCTGCCTCTGGAGACCAGTTTGATCACCCACTGGCGTCAGTAAGAGAGAGCCCAGCTCCTCTGTGGATGCTTTACTGCCTTCTTCTTCTACAGAAACTGTACGCTGAGCGTTTATTACCAATTCACAAGAGTCTGTTGACTTTAAAACGAAACGTCTCATCTTCAAATTACTTATTTTTTTTCTGCAAACAATCCGACTTTGGAAATATTCAGTCAACGGACACATAGGACGAGCATATTGGGAGTTAAAGGAGCTGAATTAAACGTATCGATGTGCGAGCTGCAGAGTGGAACAAACCCCTTTTCTCTTAAGAGCCAATCAAAAGCCATCATTTGCCGCGGCAGTGAAGGTCGCCACAGCACAGCACGTGTGGCGTTCTTTGGGAAGTCTTCGTCAATACATTTCCACCAACACATCAGATCAACAGGAAACGAGGCCGGGTGGGGGGGACGGGGGGGGGGGGGGGGGGGGGGGCTGTGAGTGCAGGTAGCGGCGATGGAAAGACGTGCGGCCACTAAACAGGCCTCGGACCCGGGAGCCTCGAGCACGATGACATCAGAGCGCCTGCCAAAGGGTCACGTGACCAAAGAGGTCCAGGAGCAGCGCACAGGCCGGGCTTTGTTAGCGGCGTGGACCATAAATGTGGGGGGGGGGGCAGCTGGGGGCAGGGTGGACTTGACTTGACTGCCACTGGGTTCGGGGTTGTGACATCACGCGCGTGGTGATGAGATAAACCCCCGGACCAGTTACACATGAGCCATTTCACCAGAAATATAAACACAGCATGTGTTGACAACAGTCAATGTTTACCAAAACCTGAGGGGGGGGGGCGGGGGGAGGGGGGGGGGGGGGGTTGTGCGTCATCATTGTCCATCTCCTCTTCTTGCTTCAGTCTTTGCGGCGTTGTTGTGACATTTTGCACGTCAGACAATAAGTTGTGGGAGTGTGACTGTGAAATCTGCACACAGTGGAGTTGTGAGAACCACACGCACACACACACACACACACACACACACACAGACACACACACACACGTGCAATGCAAACAGCCGGGAGAAGAAGGCCGCCCCGGGGCTGTTGGCTGTATCAACACTGTTTGCTTATCACGCTGCCATCTTATTTTCCCATGATATGCTAACGGCTAACAGGCCCCACATTAAACATGACCTCTCAGACGCCAGCGTCTGCAGCAGAAAACGGGCGGTTAACAACTTTTAGTCGCTCTATATTTTGAGCGTTTAAGAAGCGATGCAGAAATATGTGTGCGTTTGATAATGAGAATGTGACATGAAAGAATTGAAGCTTTGTTACAGAAAGCGGCCTAAATTCTTGGGGAGTAATCCAGCGTCGGGGACACTTGAGCAGACTCACATTCAGACTTTCATCAGCAGGCCACATTACACACACACACACACACACACACACAGACAAAAAAGGGGAAATGGACATTTGAGATTTGCACACTCAATTTGTGCGCAGAAATGCTGCAGCCAGAGACCAATCACAGTGTGTGTGTGTGTGTGTGTGTGTGTGTGTGTGTGCGCTTATCTGCCAATTCATGAAGAGCTATTATTCAAAGCAGGGCTGGATGTCACATCCAGGGAGGAGCAGCAATGTCTCCAGCGTGAGACAGCAGAGCGCGGGGACAGGTGGAGACTGGGACACGAGTGAAGATGTGTGTGTGTGTGTGTGTGTGTGTGTTGATTTGCAGTCAAGTCAAAAGCCAAATGGATGCATCCTCTAAGTGTGTGTGTGTGTGTGTGTCGTGAATGTTAAAAACACAGCTGATCCGTCCCCATCACTGGATGCTCTTGTGTCCCGCTGCAGGGCACAAAGGGCAGATTGACTAATCAAGAGTGCCTCGGCTCGCCACTTTCCCCATTTAGATAATGATGCAGTCTCCTTTTAGAGGAAGGGGGGGGGGGGGGGGGGGGGGTCGGTGTGACAGCAGCACTTCCAAATGACTTTTGTGATTTTCAGGAATAGAGTCTCTTTGCCACCTGCAGCCAAAAGGTCTACCGAGTCTGTGTTTCCCACCTCAGAGAGGACATGAGCGCAACACCAATCACCGGTGGCGATTTGACGGCACTTTATACGGCCAATGCACCGCCGTACCATGGTGACAGTAGATTAAACGTCATCCATGCAGTTCCAAAAGCTACACGGACCCTTGATGATGGCAGTAACACACTGGACCCTGTTCAGTCACGGCGGCTGTCGATGGCCGCTGTCCAAAAAGTATTTGTGACAGCTCAGACGACAGTATGAGACAAATCAATGTCTCATACAAGACAGAAGTGCTGTTTTTACTTTTTAATAACAGCACGCGTCGCTTTAGTGTTTGTCGGCAGTAACAACACAAAGGAAAAGACAAGCAGGACCTTGTAAAGTAAGAGACATTTTACTGTCCAACCTGCTGCTCACGGAAGGGGACGAGAAATGACCTTTGGTATGGAAGTAAATACACTGTGCACAACGTAGTAGTAATACACGCAGTACAGCGCTGCCTGTGTACTAATATGAGCCATGTCCAGCACAGGGGGGGGGGGGGGGGTTACATGTTTGCTGTTTTTAAGGCTGTTCCATGACTTACTAAAACATCTGGCCTCTCACTAAAACTTTGTTACGGAAGAAAGAATGACGGCAACGGCCGAGCGGCTGTGAGTGACAGCTCGAGCGTCCAATGGCGTTCGCGGAGCTGACCAGGAACATTCCAAGGAAGCCCGGGAGAGCCAATTAGAGAGGCCGAAACGTGGGGGAGGGAGAGGGGGGGAGGTGTGTGTGTGTGGAGGGGGGGGGGGGGGGGCTGAGAGGTTTCAAGTTAACGTTAGATGGGTTCAGAGGCCCGAAACCCCGCGGTGGCAAAATAACAAACGCCGAGGAAAAGAACCGATGGCCGGGGGCTGGGAAGCGGGCGGTGGGGGCCGCTGACCACCGCGTCCCCCCCCCCCCCCCGGTGACCGGACGGCGCGCGAGCCGTGACGTCGCTCCGCGCCGTGAAGCTAACGTGACTTCCGGCTGACACGAACGTAACGTTAACGGGGAAGGGACACAGCGGGAGAATAACAAGGAACAGCAACCGGTGCGAACACCGAGAATAAAAAGCACCACCTACCCAGAAATTCTCTAGGAAGTAGGGCGTTATCATCTTGTTTTATTCCTCTCGGCCGCAACTCTTAAATGGGTTGTAATGCAACTTTTACGGCGAAAATCATCCACCGTCCTCCCCCCTGTTTCTGTTGAATCTGCCTTTCCCCGTTTTTTCGCTCCTCTCTCTCTCTCTCTCTCCCCTTTCTTCTCCCTCCCCATGCGGAGACTCCACCTCCGCTCGCCTCCCGGCTTCTCCCCCGTCACGCGTCCAGGCGCTTCGGTCGCAGAGGAGGAAACAGCGCCGCCGACGGCGGACGACGGCGTCGAAAAAAGACGCGTTCAGGGGCTCGACGTAAATCTCTGTACTCGACTAGATGGCTGGAAAAAAAAAAAAAAACGTTGCGCGGACGCATCTGGCGGTTTTACATATAGGATGAGACGGTGAATCTGCGTTTGAATTGGTTGGGACAAGATAACTAAAACTGAAGCACATGCTACACCACGTAAATAAGAGATTAAATGTAATAATGCTGTATTGAAGCACACAATGTAATATTCCAAACCGGCGGTGAACGCAACTTGGGGGAAAAAGTGCTCCCAGATTATCCAAACCAAAAATTAAGTTTATCATATGCAAGTGTTATGCACGCATAAAAGTGAGTGTATCCTTCCATGAGCCCATCTTCTGAAATAGATCAGTGTGTGTGTGTGTGTGTGTGTGTGTGTGATGCTCTATATGCACTAGATTCACACGCGATCCCAATGGAGAAATTATGGAGATGCGTTTGATGTTTCCTACAGGCACAGCCTGCATAATAGTGATAACTGATGACTGTCAGGTATGTGAAGTAATACGATGAAAACAGTTTCAATTTAAACATCTTGCAGGTCACAAGAAGCACCTGAGACTGACCAAGTTTATACACCGCCTCTGGTTTCCTTGTATGTTAGTATTGTGCAGCAGGAAACCTGCTCTAGATGTCCCCAAAAAAACACCAAGTCTTAATGTAAACAGTTTATTGGAACATTGTACAGAATCAAGCAATGGTAACCAGTCACATCCACTATATCATCTTACAAATATTACAAAATTACTACAATACAATATAGATTCTTTGCATGATCCAAAATATTTGGTGGCCCCAAAAGTATTACTTTTTGTATTTTATTTTTTTTAATTCAGCAGCTTATTAAAAAAAAAGAATATTTAAACCTTGTCTATCAAAATGATGTTCTTGCTTTGATTAGCAAAAAAGAGGAAGGCTAAATGCGAATACGGGAGTCTGACTACACATTCCTTAATATTGGTGGGTGCTTTATAAAATACAATTTTTTTCAGTAAAGCTTCATAAAAGTCCAACTTATATTTGCAAATTATGTTTACAACCCGACGTTTGAGTCCTTAACCCATTTCTTTCCTTTTAAATTCGGTTTCTTTAGATACAGTATACATCTACTGCAAAAACACCAACAAAACCTCAAAGTACTTGCTCTCAAGGCATCGTGTACAACTCACACTAAATATTCACCGTAGTATGATAACAATCACTTTTGACAAAAAGTACATGAAGTATGTGCAAGTTACCATTTTATTCTTCCCTCTGCATTGCAACTGTATTCACATTTCACAGCTAGCGGCGTCGCGCACGAATAAACATTGATGTAAATCAACACCCACGGCTACCCCCTTTAAACACGAAGGGCGAGAGTCTTTACTAAGCTTCAGTTGTGGAGAAGAGCTGCATAAAAGGCGAACATGTAGGGGAAATCATGACAAATAACACTGAAACACAGACAACCTGAGGTAAACACGGAGAAAACACGTATTCAAGTAGTGAAACACAACTACAATGTGTAGCAGCAGTCGAGTGGGAATTACAGCACAGTAACGGGGGGGTTGTGTCGCTTGTGTTTTAAGGAACGACCCTCTTTCAGTGAAAGAATAACAGGACTGTGTACACACACACACACACACACACACACACACACAGATCCCATCGAGCCTTGAATCCTCCATTTCTTTTGCATGCCAAACCGCTGGAATGTGACAGACAGAATCCCTTCCTAACACAAAATGAAGTGGCACTTACAAGTATTGGCCTCTGTATTCCATGATGAATTATACCCCTGTTTAGCTGCTTAACAGATCCTTTACATATTGGTATGCTGAGAAAGTTCCTCTAAGACACAGAAGTACTTCTGTCTTCTAATAAGCCCGTTGCATCGGGACACTTATTGCATTAGGTAAATACATTTAAGCAGCAGTACTTTAACGATCCGTTACAACTAAGTCGTATTCTGATCGGTTTGGCTACGTCATTCATTTCAAGCACGAGCCGTTTCAACCTGACGTGCACGTCAGGCTCTGGCAAAGGGTTAAAATACTGCAGTAATTACTCTGGCCAGCAGAGGAAAAAAGACTGGCAGGGCACAAAAACACCTAACTTAAGCTCTCCAACCCATCATGGAATACGTTCAGGCTCCTTCTAACTCAAAGACAACACACTTTATAAAATATAACAGCGCAAAAACAACCAGAGACGATAACAACGTTGTAGTTTCACAGTATTCAAAGACAACACATCCAGCTATGGGGGTCGACGTTTAGGGAGAACACTCCAGCAAGAATCATGTTGAAGTTAGAAAAGTGTTGTGATACATTTGTAAAACCTTTAAATGAAGCTCCCCTCCCTCCCGTAATCCCCCCCCCCCATGCATTGGGCTGTGAGGGGCCACCAACATGCAAGAGATGAAAGTACCCCACGAAACACAACCACCCCAAACGTTACGGTCGACCTCGGGATCATGCTTCACCCCCCCGAGGACGAGGATGAGAAATAAACAGGTGACATTGTGGCTCCGGGCAGCCAGAGACTCACGACCTAAAACAGACCCCTAAGACGCCTCTGTGTGTCCGACGGTATAAAACATGGCGGCCGACGTCGGACACGCCCGCAGAGCGCGGCCGGTCATGCTACGTGACGGCTAGTCGCCGCCATTTCTCAGGTTAGACGAAAGCAAACAAAAAGATAGATAAAGTACAAGGTCAGAGAAGAAGCTCATCGCGGGGGGGGGCGTCAAAAGCAACACACACCACTGATGTTCCACAGCTTCTCACAACGATACAAGCATGCTACCTATTCCCAGAAAAGCCTGCTGCTCTCCAGAGACAGCGAACAGAAGTGATAACTGTATATGTGATAACGTATTCTTGGTGATATGCAGCATTCTACAGTTAATAAGATGCTTTCTGAGCATCGGCAGCCGTTTCTGAGCTCTAAGTCTTCCTTTTATTGAGACAAAGAGCTCTTGATGAAACATCATCTCGGCTGCGTTTTAAATGGACATTCTTCTACTCAGCTGCAACTACCGGCCTGACATGGTAATGGAAGCCTGTTCTCTCTGCGCCAACTGCTCCTCTAACCAAAACGAAAAGGGCAAAAGCTTCTCAGGGTCGTGTGCGACATTTTCTTCTCAGTAGTTCAGGTAACCGAAAGAAACAGAAGTTTGGGGAGAAAAAAGCTGCTCGGTTCATCTTCTTCAGTGGAGAAACCAGAGATGTCTCTCCAGCGAAAAGGTGTTGTTGCGGCGAGACCTCCTCGCCGCGCCCACCCCCTTGCCTGTGCATGGAGGCACTTGGCACTGCAGCTGCCACCTCCCTCCCACCCCGCCCTTCAGGTCCGGTAGGAGGGGTACGCGTCCCCTTCCCCCCAGTAAAGGGTAACATGTTCCCTGGGTAAAAGAGGTTCCCCATATTGTCTCCCATAGCGAAGGACCTGGAGGGAGAGAGAGAGGGCGAGAGAGGGAGAGAGAGGGAGAGAGGGGGGGACCTCGTTAATAAAAAAGGTTTGGTTCATTTCTAATGTTTGCGAGTGGGTTCTCCACGAGGAGACTGACCCCTGCGATGAGGCGTGTGCTGCCGTGGAAACGGTTACACCCCGTAGAAGGTCGCCAGTCGCTCCTTCAGCGGCATGGGGAACTGATCCGAGAAGCGCCTCCAGTTGTCCTCGCCCACCTGGTTCTTAAACCCGTGGAGGATCTGAAATTAAACACCGGGAGAAGTTCACGCACGAGTAGCGAGGGAATGCTGCCGTTCAAAATAGCTCGTTCATCGGGTCGGGTGGGGCAGAGGGTGGAGGGGGGGGGCGGGGGTGACTGAGTGCATCGTTCATTCTGTTGGAACGCGACTCATTTAGAATAGTGACGTTTCCCTCTTTTACCTTGCAGAACATGTCTCGGAGGTCGTCGTTTGGGTTTACCCAGGAGGCCACTGCGTCGCAGAAGAATATAAAATCCTGTTCCAGAGAAGAGAAGTGAGGCAACATTTCAACGCGGCAACACGCCGAGGGCGGTGTCGGCTGCACCTCACCTGCACTACGCCGCCCGGGTTCACACTGATCATAGTGCAGATTCCTCTGAACGCAGAGTCTTTCTCCTCATTGTCTCTTATATTTCGTAGAGAGGTGCACCTGACAACGGGGACGACCAAATTCCACATCAGACAGATCAAAGAATGACAAAAAGAATGCTTGACTACACACATGTAAATAGCTATATGAATATCTACATAATACACTATAATCTATTTCCATGCTTCATACAAATGTAACGTTTAGGGTTTTATCATTAAAACATGGTAGTCTGCATTTCTACATCCATGTGAGGTGACAATTGTGTCTAATGACAACAAGTCAGGCATGCACACAAAACTGATTCAAATAAAACAAATGCAACATTTTAACTCTTAGCAAACTACTCTGAGCACTAAAAGCTCCACTGTTGTCTACGAGCAGTGTGTTTCTTAAAAATCTCATGTACAGCACCTTGAAATAACATTACTTGTTTAGAGATTGACTAGAGAAGGTTGGGCTTCTATTTATTCAGGGACAGGCACATGCAGCTGGGCGACTACAGTCTGAGGAAGGGATTCAGAAATGCTCGTTTGCAGCAAAGTCTGCACCCTTTCTCTGTAGCTGAACCAGCAGCCATGTGGCAAATCTGATCCCATGCATCTTTTAGGCTAGCGACAGTTAACAACGACAAAAAAAACAGCTAGAAATTAAACAAATCAATGTAGAATACATGAAGGTGCTACTGAGGCAAAAACAACAGAATCACAAGTAGGACCTAAAAGAGGACAGGGTTAGTCACATGGTCGGCAATGACTACAAACTAATAAGAAACAAGAAGAAAACAAGAACTGAAAAGACTTCT